ATATACTGTATATATATATACAGTATATATATAATTTGTAATTAAGGTAACAAGGTATTTGTACTTCATTACTTGACACTTCTGTTATTGTAACAATAGTAAAACTGAGGTCATTGACAGTACCAGGGTCGGACTGGCACACAAGTCCACCAGGAGTTTTCCCGGTGGGCTGATGGGCTGCGGGTGGGCCAGCCCGTAGAGCTGCTGTGGAGCTCGTTATCGTCACCTCAGCGCACCCTTGTTTTGCGGCATCACAAAGCCTCTATAAAGGCTGGTTTTTTAATAGTCAGGCTTTGGGTACTCGCACAGTATCTTTTTCAAGTTGTGCACATAAAGACATTTAAAACATGGCCGCAAAGTTCACAAATGGCCAACACTCCGAATTCATTGTGACTACGATGCAAATTTGGCTTATTTTCTTGCAGTAATGTGTGAATTAGTCACCACAAGTCACAGTCTAGTGACGAACTTCCTTTGGCTTTTCCATTCTTTTGATTAGTTACCTTGATTGCCCATTCAGAATTAACCAGCAGGGTTTAGAAATATTCCTCCAAAATAGACAAAAGCTCTAAATGAAAACTCATTTCTTGATTCCCTAGAAAAGCAGATAACCTGGAAATATTAACTGTTTGAATGAAGTGGAAATCTAATGCAGCAAAAGGTGCAATGACCAATAAGTAAAAAACTAAAATAAATAAACTTTAAAAAATATCAGGCACAACATAGAACAGCTAACTTCTTTGTTTACAATTTAGATGACTGTTTGAATCCAAAAAGAAATGTTTTGACAGAGAAGATAAGTGATCTTGTCTCCAGGGTCCAAAAATAATTCTACTTTTACCTTTTGGTCCCAAAAAAAAATACTTTTACCTTTTTTTTACCTACGTTTTCGTTCATTTCTAATTCAGTTGCTATAATGCGGTAGCTCTGAAACTGAAGAAAACAGAAAAGAAGACGATGGCTCGACATGACATCATGACGTGTTCTGTTAAGACGTGTTAGATCTTCTTTCACATCCATCTTTTATGTTTTTCTTCTCTGCTTTCAGTGCTGGGGTATCAAAACTTTTTGTAATAACAGAATATCACTGCAGTATGTTTCACTGGTGCAACATTTGCTTTTTTCTAATCACTTTTATTTCCATACAACTGGCACCAACATTGGGCATTTTTTTTCCAACCAGCGAAGATTTATACAAATACAGTAAAATAGTAACACCTTTACCAAAACAAATGAAATTTAAAGAAAGTAATTAGCCTTTCTCCTTGCAACAAAAACACCCTTTTATGTTTTTTCCAGGGCATTAAGAAGACGTTCAATCTTACAAAGATATAATGTGTACCGCATGTATCAATGTGAGCACTCCATTAAGCTGAATTTATCTGTCTGCTATATTCTCTCTTTTTGTTTATGCCTTGGAATTTATTTTATTATCTTGATGAAACAATTTGCTCCTTAGAGTGCATGCTATGACTGGAACTTTTAGGCCAGTGGAAGGGGAAAAAAACATTGTCAGTTTATGTGGCATTGGTTTTGAGGGCTCTTAGTGCTTGCAGGGTAAAAACTTAACACATTCAAACGTGATACACAGGAGTTTATCTGAAACAACAAATTTTTCCAGCTTAAAATTATGGTATTTTCGCTCTAAAGTCATTATTTACAAGCAAATATTTATTAAAGTACAAGAACTTGTAAAACTGCTGGTATCTGGACACCACCACTCTGATCACATAAGATTGGATTTTAAAACTTTACAATCAGCTATTAATGTCAAATGTTCCTGTAAACAAAATCTCTCTTGAATCATTGGACAGGTTTTAATAAAACTCTCAGCAGCTGATTACTTTTGGAGCCAATCCCATTAAAGGGGGGCAGTATGTATTTCCAGTTCAGTTTCATACCACAATCAAGTAAATGTTCCTTTGTTAAAAAAAGATGCGCTATATATATATAAGAAAAAGAAAAAAAACAAACAAACAGATTTTGCATCATAATGCCTTGAAATTGGCCTTTATCTCTTTGAGAACTTCCTCCCATTTCAGACATTCCTACTTTAGCACAATTTCAAACAATGCTTCGAGGGAGGGGTGCTCTGTGGGGCATGAGCTCGCCTGTAGACTGAGCTACAGGGTGGAGCTTTGGGCAAATAGGTGGTGCTTTGTACCAGCAAGAGTTCAGGCAGCTCCACACGGCTACCACAGGAGATTCAAGAATTTCGTCAACAGGCATGAAAGCGTCAAAGGTATGTTTTTGATGAGAGAATGATATTCACCGTCGTTGCTGTCGGCATCTTTCGTGTCAGAAGATGATGGTGTAGCTCTTGTAGAGTTCATCTGCACTTCCTGGAGTGGCTGTGCAGACCAACTTGTGAGTGACAGTCTCTGTGGCATCTGGTGCAGGTGAATGTAGTTGGCTGCTGAGGCTGCTGTTGCCTTTCCTTCCACCTGACTCTCTTTTGGGTGGCAGCTTTGATCCGTGCCTCTTCCACATTCTTCATGCCCTGTCTGGTGGCACGTTGCCAAACTGTGCAATCGTATGCCTGGCATGAGTAGACATCAATGCTGCACTGTTTCAGGTCTTTCTTGCAGACATACTTGTCGCGCAGTTTTGGACGGCCTGTCAACCGGGCGCCTTCTGCCAGCTCGCCATAGCAGAGGTTTTTGGGAATGCGGCCTGCATCCATCCTTCTAACATGGCCGAGCTACAGTAGGTGCCTTTCGCAGAGTCTGGCATCCAGGCTGCTCATATTGGTGCATTCCAGTACCTCGGTGTTAGTGAGCTCGTCCTGCCTGTTAATATGGACAATGCGGCACAGACACCTCATGTGGAAGCTGTTGAGTTTACTTTTGTGCCTTGTGTAGGTGGTCCATGTCTTGCTGCCGTAAAGGAGTATGCTGAGCACACAGGTCTTTTAGACACATCTTGGTCTTTCCAGTGAGGCTGGAGTTCAGCTTAGCCATGACTGCTGATGCTTTTGCGGTTCTGCTGTTGACGTCTGCATTGATGGAAAGCAAACTGGACATGGTAGACCCAAGGTATGTAAAAGTGCTCAACAACATCCAGGCTGTATCTGTCAGTGGCAGTGGTTGCAGGGAGTTCTGTGCCCTGTGTCATGATGTTTGTCTCTTCAGACCGATGGTCAATCCAAACTCCATGCAGGCATGGGAGCGGTGACTTACAAGATGCTGCGTGTGATGCTGTGTGACATCAAGTTTGCGTCATCAGCGTAGAGCCTCTCATGGATGAGTACCTTGATGACTTTTGTCTTGGCACAAAGACCGGTGATGTTTGCCATCTGACTTGGTATGGATGTAGACCCCCCTGGTATGGATGTAGACCCCCTTGCAACAATCCTTAAAGGCATACTGGAAGACCATGGAGAAGAAGATGCCAGAGTATTGGTGCAAGGATACAGCCCTGCTTCACTCCACTACTGTCTGGGAATGACATTATAACATGATATAAAGCTCAAAAAAGTCAATTTTGCATAATCCCCCCCTCCCACCTTAAAGATGACCATAGCAGCTAAACAACCTTAGCAAACACAACATTGGCTGTGTTAATTTTTCTGATACTGAGCAAACATTTGTGTGGTAGTAGCCGAGCATCATTGTCAACATGGACTCTGAGCACAGTGTTTTTGCTTACATTTTTGGCATTAACAGTTGGCATAAACTGTGTTGGTCTGGGTGCCAAAAATCTCATGTACTGTATCACTGGAAAAGTTTTAGGTACCCCCCAGAAAGTAATCATTGCCTGAGTTCAAGGAATGCAAGGCCTTTAATATGAATATTTTTTTTATTCCTGTGAGCAAGTAACTTTTTTCCATGATGACATGAGCCACATTAACAACTCATTACCAGTGTTTACATCAGTTTCTTGGAGTAATCTCCAAACAAACAAAGATTGTCAAACCCAGTGTAAACTCCACAGCAAATTTATCACGCATTTCCCAGGAAAACCTCACCGGATCCTTACGCAAGGCAGCGTGTTTCATCAGCTACAAAATGCCGGAGAAGAGAAGAAGAGTGCACCTCACAAAAAACAGGTGGGTGAGCACAGAAAGGGATGATGGGCCAGCAATGGGAGCCATCTGTGATTGGAGAGTCACTATCCTTTCTTTTCTCGCTGCCATGTGCAGAGTGTTGATAAGAGACATCATCCCACTGACTCATTAATCAACTGTGAAATATACAGCTACCTGCCGCTTTCTTATTCCCATGGTCCCAAAATCCACTCCAGTACCTGCCTCGTCTGAGTTTACTCCTCAAGTCCTCTGTGAAGAATAATAT